GTAAATCCTTCAATGAACTGTCTCTTTGTGTCTTTTGTCCATTTCTTTGTTGAATTGAGTGTTTTTTGTTTTTTGTTTTATCAGCTGTTGGGCTTGAACTCAGGGACTGGGTGTCTTTGAGCTCTTTTGCTCAAGTTTAGCCTCTACCACTTTGAACCACAGCTCTACTTCCCGCTGCTAATTGGAAGTCTCATGGACTTCCCTGCCTGGACTGGCTTTGAGCTTTGATCCTCAGATCTCAGCCTCCTAAGTAGCTAGGATTACAGACTTGAGTCACCAGCACCCAGGTTTGAGTGTATTTTTATGGTTCAGTTTGAGCATTCTTTTTAGATTCCAGATACTTTGGACTATGTAGTTTACAACAACTTTTTCTTTTGAGGACCAAGAGTGAAACTAAATGAACAAAGTATAAGACCATGGAAATGTTTCAGCTGTATTTGGTTGTGGAAAAGGGGTGAAGGTAGAGAAAGAGGAAAGGGATGGGGATCTCTCAAAGCTCATGAAGGTAATGGTTCCCCTTTGGCACAGCTTGGGGCAGTGAAGGCCAGGTGCAGGGATGGAACATTCACCAAGGAAACTGACTCTTCCCAGACCCTTCCCAGATTTGACTCATCAGAATCATGTCTCCAGACAGAAAGAGAAGGGTAAGAAAAACACTGATTTTTTTTTTAATGAAGGGAAAAGAGCCCTCATTTCTATTTTCTGGGGTTCATTTCGATAAACATTATTTTATATGATCAGCCTTTGTGTTCCTCTCCTAAGAATGATTTTTTTTTAATTAAGTCAGAGAAGCGCTTCTTTTTTGCAATAATGGAACACATGTAATCTCTAATCTTTGAGGCCTCTCACAGGCTAAGGGAAAAATATCTTGGTTTGAAACAACTGCTGGGATAATCCAACATTCTTACAACTATCTTCTTCAGGAGAAAAAAATCTTTTAAATTAGAAATGTAAAATTGACCATTTTTCCCACCAAACTAAGCTGTAGCACTGCCTATGAATATATATTAAAATCACTCTATTTGACAAATAAAGATCTGTGTGAGCTCAAAAACGTATGCAATATTTACTCATGCTATCTTGGTTTCTCTGAAAGCCCAGAAGGAACAGAACTGGGGGCTCTCTACCTTAAGTGGAATTATTACAGCTTAATTTCACCCCTGATCTCAGATCATACTGTACCACTTTATCAGGGTTCATTTAATTCTCTCCCTACTGTTTGAGAGAGAATTAAAACTAAAAATCACAGGGGTAGTGCCAAAGTGCCACACTTCACTTCACCTTGGACACCCATCAGACATTCTTATCGAACATAGAAAATTGCTGGTATAAATGGTATCACAATAAATATGCTTCCCGTTAACATGCAGGTCACAGAGGGGAAAAAAAAACCAGGAATCATAAAATACCTTCATCCTTCTCAAGGTTGTCCAAAGAGAGTGGGGGCCAGGGGATGGGGGGCGGGGAGAAAGGACAGGGCTTTGGACTAGGCTGTTTATCTTTATGATGCAATTTAATCTGGGATGCCACAAGCATGTGGAGGGTAGGGAAGATCGTTAGGAAGTAACATCATAAAGTAGCAAGAAAGAGCTAAAAGAAGACTGTTCTGTGGGTTTCTCACTTCTATGCATAGATATGAGAATATTATGGTAACTTGCTAGTCTTGGCTAGCACTGACTTGGGGCCTACTCAAAATGTAAGAGAAGAGGCCAAATATCTCTTGCATATATTTCAAGGGCTGGACACTCTGTGTATATCTTATTTAAGTCTTAAAGAAAATAATCTTGTAAGCTTAGGAAGTAGTCTTGTGAGACAACGGAGGAGATACAAGCTGGAAGGATGGAGTGAGCTGCTCAAGGTCACATACCAGGTTTGACTCTAGGGCTGACTGCTAAGCCAGACTTCCTTCTGTGACCCAAAGGTCCCAGACAGGAGTGATTCCTTTGAAGTTTGTTGTGCATTCTTTAGTAGGTTTCAACACTAAGAGAAGAAGACAGAGAAGAAATCCCAGGACCCAGGAACAACCAGGCCAGGGCTGAGTTTGGCTATGCAGCAAGCCACAGTGGGGTCTTCCAGGCAGAAGCTTCCTGCAGCCTACCCCTAGGTCACAAGAGAGGCAGATGACTTCCATGTCTGTTCCATGCCTCTGGAAAATTAACATTCTCTCTGTAGGCATCTGTTAAGTCGCCATAATAAAAGCATAAAGAATGGATTCTGGAATCCATAGTTTGGAACTCTGAATTTGAACCAGAACAAAATTAAGGAAGCGCCTGAAACTGATTACTTTGTGAGCTCTCAGAAAAAAAAGTGATGGCATCTCACAGTAGTTGGAGTTCACAAGGAATAAATCGTGTCCTTACTTGTGAGTTTCCAGGCATGCAGGAAAACAACAGCCATGACTGCAAAAGTTGATCCAGGCATTTGACAGGGTCTTCCCTTGGACTCTATCTATGTCAAATCACCCCATTCTTCACACTGGTTGCATCGGAACTGTTCTCTTGAAACTTAGGTAATTTCAGGGGGCTCGGATTAATGTCTGCCCCTATTGGGAACACAGGGGGATGCATCTGTTCCCGTGTGCCCTTCTATTTAGCACAGCACTGACATACATAGAAGACAGATGATAGATAGAACATAGAACACAGATCTCAACAAGAGATCTGTTGAATGAATGGAGGCAGTATAGCATGGTTGGTTATGAGGGAGACAGGCTCTACCACTTCCCTGTGTGTGACCTCACTGAATTTTGACGTCATTTATAAAACAGGTACTGGTGACTCACAACTGTAATCCTAGCTACTCCAAGGGCTGAAGTCTGAGGATTGAGTTTCAAAGCTGGCCCTGGCAGAAAAGTCTGTTAAGATTCTTATCTACAATTAACCACCAGAAAACGGGAAGTGGAGCTGTGACTCAAAGTGGTAGAGCACTACCTTTAAGCAAAAAGAACTCAGGGATGCAAAGAGACAGGTTCCACAACCAACAAAAGCAAAACACAAGGCACCTTATAGGGCTGTTAGAAGAGTAACCAAGGCACTTCTTCCCATACACACTGGTGAATAGTTAGAAGGGTAGGACTGTATGTTAAGTATATAAAACAAACAGGTGCTAACTAGTTGTTAAAGGATAAGTATTAATTAAACTGACATTTGATTTAGGAAAAAAAAATGCAAGTGGATTGTTGCTGAAATATAGGCCAATTATATTGATCAGAAACCATCCACATAACAGAAATCAGGATCTAAATTTAATTCAGCCTCCATCCCGTAAGTCTGTGCCTATGTGTTGGGCAAACAACCATTTACAACTGGGACTATGTCCAATATCTTAAGAGAAATAAAGCTTGAATTCTTAATAAAGTCAATAGATGCTTTAGGTTTGTCTGAAGCTATTGACTAGTAATACTTTAGGCTGAATAATTTCCATCAAAAATCGGTAAACAAGAACAACAGCAAAAAAAAAAAAAAATCAAGTTTTAAAAGCCACAAGATGTTCACTACACAAACTCATCCAGCCTAAAGAATTCCACTTGGAAAAGCCATAGGGCACACGATGCAAGGCAAGAATATACTTGCAGGCAAAAGGACATACTACACATGGCTCATATGATACTGCTCATTTGGCCAGCTGTATCTTTTTTTTTTGGGTTCGGTCATGGGGCCTGAACTCTGGGCCTGGGCGCTGTCCCTCAGCTCTTCAGCTCAAGGCTAGCGCTCTACCACTTAAGCCACAGCGCCACTTGCGGCTTTTTTCTGCTTATGTGGTGCTGAGGAATCGAACCCAGGGCCTCATACATGCAAGGCAAGCGCTCTACCACTGAGCCACCTTCCCAGCCCCCAGCTGTATCTTAATTAATATATATTGGTTGTCTTTTAAAATTATCTTTGAGTAGTTGTACAAAGGGGTTTCAATTCAACCTGGAGACTGTGAGTATAATACATCCTACCAATGTCACCCATTAATATTACTTCCATCATTTCCCTATCTCTCCCCAACCCACCCATACCCTTGATTTTCCTAGTTTTATTTTCACACATACACATGTTTGGATTTTAGACATTCCTTTGCAAGTGCTCATTCTTTACCAGTCAGAGACATTCATTTCTGTTCTTTTCAATAATGAAATGTTGCATAAGAAAACATTTTCTTTAAAATGCACTGGGTGCCGGTGGCTCATGCCTGTCATCCTAGCTACTCAGGAGGCTGAGAGGTAAGCATTGCATTTTCAAAGCCAGCTGGGGCAGGAAAGTCTGTGAAACTCTTATATCCACTAAACTACTCAGGAAAATCCAGAAGTGGTGCTGTGACTCAAGTGGTAAAACTAGCCTTGAACAAAATAGTTCAGCGGTAGTGCCAAGGCCCAAAGTTTATGAATATATTCAACATATATGAACACATAAGAAGTAAATCTTTTCATCTGTGTCTGATACAGACATATAAATGACTTACAATCTCTGGAGACACATGTGCAGATTCTGAATGCCATTTCACTCCTTCAATATGGAAATAGAAAGCCAAAGAGATAGAATACTCCTTGGTCAGATATTTATCATAGATCACATATTTTAGGCTAAGTCATGCTGTCTATACCAGAAATGCTAAGGAGATTTATTAGTAACGGTCTAGGATATACTCTTCAAAAGGAGCACATGTTAAAACCCATTAGAGAATGCTTGTTGACCTTCTGAAGAACAGAAAAGGAGCTCAAAGGCACTTGATTCACTGGACCACACAGGTCCATGCAGAGAGCACCAGGAAGGAGGCCCCCATGGAGGCCCAGTGTCTTCAGCATTTGTGAAAGGTGAGTGGGGTGGAAAGACACAGAGACATGTTCACTGTGGTGGCCAGACATGAACTACACACACCCTGTAGTAAATGTATGCCCCACGTGCTGTGGTGAATGAATCAGATGAACAGTTTTACTAATGGTGACAAGGACAGCAGCCAGCATAACCCTGCACAGCCCGCCTGTCAATTCTGCTAAGCTGGGGCCCCTGACTGACCTGTTTGGTGCAGGTGATCTCTGGCCACTTCAAACAAGCGCAGGTGCATGTTGGTGATCGGGTTGAAGGAGCCACAGGCCAGAAGCACCACGGGGATCTGGCTCTTCATCTTCTCAGGGACGTCCACGCCTGTGGCAGTGGCCACCCTGCCTCTATGGGAACAAGCACACAGGTCAGTGAGCTGGCAGCAAGACAAGTGTCCAGATCAGGGTCTAAACCGGCACAAGCTATCACCTTACCTGCTCAACTGCTTGAGTCATACTCCATGAGATTCCCCCATGGCCTCTGGCTTTATGTTTCCATATAAGCTGATCATTCCTCCAACCTGAACCCTATCAGCTCATCCCAGTCTGTTAAGACCCAGTGCAGATGATCACATTATTATTTATACTATTTGTTGAATGCCTGCTAGGGGCCAGTTATCAGTGAGGGATGCAGCTGTCTTTAAGTCCCAGAAGTCGGACCTTAGCAGTATAAACAAACATGCCCATTTGTTTCTCACATGACCACGGGTCTACAGGTATGCAGCGGATGGTATTAGAGCAGGAGCTCAACATCTGCTTACAATTCTTTTGGCTTTTTCCCTCATGGTTTTAAGATTGTTGCTGGAGTGGCGGCCATTGTGACCTCAATCAAAGCAAGCCAAAAGAGCAAGGAGCTGTCCTTCCTAATCAGAACCCAAGTGTCTTTTCAGAACCCCCTGTAGATATTGTTTCTATCTCATGGGCTAGAACACAAATGGTCTGAGGTTCATTCCAGCCCCAAGAATATGTGTGTGCACAGGCATGTATTTACCCTCACAGACTCTGGTGGGAAGCCGAAAGGATCCCACAGAGCTGGGTGACATCTGTTGGGTTGCTGATAAGCGCAGAAGGCCGCTAGCTTTTCTGACTTTTACTTTCTGACCCCCTGGCATGGGTCAGGTGACATTTACCATCAGTAAATTACATGTCACAGTAATGACAAAATGTGCTCATGTGTGCGTCTTATGCATTGGTCAGCTGGATTTCACCTCCAAGCACAAAGGCTGGTCCAAAATAGACTACACTCTATACAGGCTAGCACAGAGCACTGACTGGTAGCACTGGACAGGAGACCTGTTCCCTGGTGGTGGGAAGGCCAACTGCCCTTCCCAAACACATAAAGAGTTGGTTTGTTCTGGCTCTGTATGGAGCAACACAAGGAAGAAGAAAATCAGTAGGCACAGTGTAGGTTCTCCAGGCTTTCTCTGTGGGAACAGGCACACCCCCTGCAGTGTGCAAAGAAAGCAGTCTTCAAGCTGCTGCCATCAGTGGCAGTGGCTTTGCAGGGAGTGGGGGAAGAGGGTGAAGTGGTTTAATGAGATGTTATTTACAAAGTGCGCTGAGCTTGTTTGGGAGAGCAGCCTCCTGATGAGGTATTTGAAGAAGATGGCTAGTTGTTGTTTTGTTTTTGTTTTTCTCACACCTATTCTGAAGCCTGTCAATATTTCATTTCATTCTTACAAAATATACAATTTGTGAGCCATTATAACACATAACTACAGCATTTTGCGACACCTGCGGTTCTGATTCATTCCCCCCCTCCTCCAGAATTTCCAGAAACTGTAAACTTCATTTGCTTCAAAGGCGATATCAATGGTGATGAGGGCTGATGCTGAGGAGAGCCAAGGACTCGGGCCTCTCTGTCTTTTCTTTCCATGCCTGTGACAGCCTGAGCCACACTGCTCTGTGTCCTTGCATTATCCTGGTCATATCCCAAGCTGGAGAACCCAGCAAGTGCACAGGACCAGGCTCAGTAATGGGGTCAGAACATCCACTAATAACCCATCCAAGCTAGCTCAGAGAAATACAATGCTCCGGTAGAAACAGACAGGTTCCAGAGGCAAACCGGCTTCTGGCTTGAGCACATACCTCACTAGACACAAGGCAAATGCAGGTAATATGAGACCCATCTGCCTTCTCATCCAGTGATATGTAGCGGGACCAGTAAGTGGAGGAGATGGGTCCCACCCCAGGCTGCTGTGTCAATAAGCAGGTAATGGAGGCCGGCAGAGTGAACAATAATCACTACTGAGGATTTAAAATGGTGAGAATTCCGTCTCAGAATCTATCATTAAGCTAGATTCTGCCTCTGGCCTCGGCTCCCTCTCCAGTTGGGTCAGCCCAGACAGCATTTTCATCCTGCTAGCCAATGGTACCACTCTGTTCCTGCCAGCGCCACCAAGGCCTCCAGGAAGGCCCTCGTCACCCTGTATCCCTGGACAGTTACGCCGTGTCCCCTCCCTGCCCTGCTACTCCTGCACCTGTGACATGTCATCATTGCCTTCTGACTGGCCCTGGAACTGCCACCGACTTTTCTTCCTGTGGCTCTTCCCCAGAGACTTGTCACAGAGACCCAGAAGGGAAGGTGAGCCACTGCAGGTATCTGATGCTAATATTGCTTGGGATGCCATCAACTTACCTGTCCCTGCAGTAAGCCCAACCCAAGAATGTGGCTGCACACATCCCTGTTTATTATTAGACATAAAACAGATGGCTTTGGGCAGAATGGAAATGGATTCTACAAGCATCCTTCTTTGCACAGACCTCTTGACCAGACTTCTCATCTTAAAGGAAACAAGAGATACGGTTTGTATTCATGGATTGCCAACCACATTTTTCAGGACCCAGGGCGATCATTTCCATGTATGAGAATGTGTCAACTTCTCCCGGGCAATCAGCCCCTACGTGAACTTGAAGTCTGGTACTTTTGTTGATGTCAACTTTGTTGGATTCGCCTGCTGTTTCTACGGGCCCACAATGCTACTAAGAACAAAAGCAAAATGCGCCTTCCATGTCAGAGTGAAGATTCTCTGCCAGCCACCCCTTGGAGGAAACAAAATGCTAATTAAGTCCTCGTCCTAATTATGAGACTCGCAGGAAAGCAGGAGGCCCAGCTCCTAGCTCTTCAGCTTGGAGAACTTCCGGAAGATCTGAAGAGAGCACAGGACTGGAAGGAGGTCCCTGGCAATGCCACACTGGTATCTTTGGGACTCATTTCAGTGGCTGTAACCCGTGGAGCTCAAGTACAGTTACTGTGGTTATTGAGTGATGGCTGCACTGTGCTGGAGATACATTACAGGTTGAAGCTAAAGCTCAGTTATGTCACACGCCTGGAAGGAAGGGCTTTGTGCCTGTACTCTGTTAAGTTGCCTAATCTACTCTCCAAGGTTCAGGGAGCCCCGTAGAAAACAGCGATAATTACACATCCCTTTCCTGAGAGTGTCTGGAGCTGACCCTCTTTACAGTTATCTGGCTCTGTGTGGTGCTCTCCAAAGACTTTGGCTCCTTTCTTTCATTAGGTTCAAAACAGAATCCACAGTTCTCTCTCCCTGCCACCAGATGCTTGTTTATATTGTTTGGAAAAGACTCTGCCATGTTTCTAGTCCCCTATGATCATAACCTGGCAGCCTTTGGGCAAATGCTCAGCATCCTTCAGCTTAGGCAGGCTGCTCAGCCCAACTTGCCCTGGGGAGATGGCACCACATTCCCTCCCCCCGCTCCCCAGGAAGCCCAACTCAACATACCATGACTGTGGTCCTCCACCAGCGCCAAATAACACAGCTCAGCTCCAAGCCTCCTTTGTCCCTGGACAAGTCCCCATGGCAGACTTGCCAACTTGGAACAAAAAGCAGACGAGGGAAAAGGAGGTGAGAAGTACCTGAAGTCCGCTAGGAGGAAGGAGAGCAGCAGATAATAAAACCACCGCCCGTCAGCTGCTGTGCTGGAGAAAAGAGGAACAATCTGCTTCTGCTCTAGAGAAGGTTCCAGGCCAGCAAACAAAACATACATCAGCAGACTCTGCTGGCAGAATCTTCCAGAATCCATTCGACTTTTCCTTTTCAGTCCCAAAATCCCTGTATTTTGCTGGCCATGTTGCTACATTTCCCAGACTCCTTGGCAGCAGGAAGAGGCCATATGATAAAGGTCTGGCCATAAAATGGAAAGACACACTTTTCTCCTGTTTTCTACGTGGGCATGGGCAGTGATCGTGGGTTCTGAGTACAAGATCCAACTACAGTTTTACAGAGAAGACAAAAGCAGGGCTCTGATAACCTTGATGCTACTGTACCAGCCCTGGACTATTTAACCTCTAGGAATCTTTTACCAGGGGGAGAAATCACCTTCTAAGCTACTACTGGTTTTCTTTTTGGTTTTGTTTTGTTTTCTTTTTAAGTTTTCTCTTCTATATGTTGCTGAACCTAATTCTAACTGATATACTGATATCTGATGAATGTTTACTGAAATAGTATATAAAGAAATGACAAAAGTATGTATACTTTCAGAAGTTCCTATTGCCCCAGTTAAATCTATTTTATATGTAGTAACTCAAGCGCGTATTGTTTGAAAGGGAAATATACTTAGGGAAAAAAATCTACTATAATTTAATTTTTGTATGAATTTTTTATAGGAAGGGGAAAATCCTTGCTCAGGATTCTAGAAGGCTGAACTGTACAGCAGTGAATCTGCTTTTGTGTACATCAATGAAAACCTAGACGTTGTCCTAGCTACTCACCACTCCTCCCCCACGCCCCTCACCCTCAAAAAACAGATTCATGATGGTATGTTCTTACTACTGCTCTGAGTGGGCATTTGCCATATGGCTTGGTAGCTTAATGGTTTTCTGGTACTTGACAAAAAAAAAAAAAAAACCAAAGCACAATCATTTTTGCAAAGAGTCTGCATTCCTAGATGGGTCTTTTCCAAATAACAGCTGGGCCTCAAAATTGAGCTCCTTGATTTGCAATTTGTGGACACAATACTCAAAACATTTACAAGAGAGAAAAACCTCCAGTCACTTGGGCTATTTCCAGGCTTCAGAGTTTATGAAGTTTTGGTTTTTTTTTTTAAGCAGTTTTAGGAGTGAGTGAGCAGTTATCAATAAGCTGAAGCCAACCGCCAGAACACATGAGAAATAGTCTGCCCTACGTACCAGCGGGCTGTGACCACAAACAAAAGGAGAGAAAAAGGGATGAGAAAGCAAGAAGCTCCCATTACGTCCACAGAATAAATCCTTATGCCTTTCTCCTCACACTGTCCCACATTTCCACAAACAGTGCCCAGATCTACAGCTCTGGTCTTGACCTTGTTTATGTGTGTCTATAGGTCTATGGAGATTCATAGACACCAGTTCGATAAGAAGCTGGCCAGATGTGGAATCAAAGCCACTAGTGGAGTGACCTTGACGGACTGTGTTAGTCAGGAGAGGCCACGTAAGCTGCAATAACAAACAGACCTCAAATCTTAGCGGCATAAAGCAATCAAAGTTTATTGTACACTTTACGAAGTCTCTTCATGCTAGTGGGGGGAGCTCTGCTCTATCATCTTGTTTTCTTAATCAAGGACAAGAGGTCAGGCATTATCTGGGGCACTCCTATGTGCTTGAACACAGAAATGTGTTCTCTATCTGCCTGGTCCACACTCTTGTCCTACAGCCTCTATAATATATAGGTACTGAACAGAGGGAGTCCTGCTGAAATTAACAGTAGTTTGGGCCATTCTTGACCAAATCCTGGAATGCACAGGATATGCTGAGCCATATGGTTTAATTTATGAGTATGTAGGTCTGCAGTAAGATTGGACAATGAAGTGTAAGATATTAGCATGTAAGTGGCCAGGGCAAGGCCGTGTCCAAAACCATGTCATGGGTAGACAGTGTCTGAAGGAGCAGAGATTGAATTCTGTCAGTTCAGTGTATGCTCACAAACCTCATCCTTGTATTGGAATGATGCTAACTGCCTGCGAGATATGCTTTTGTCCTGGTCCTGGGCACTTCCAGTTCCAACACAGGCCATTGTTATTAGTAACAGTGGAATACCCGTGTACTCATCCAGTCACATTTGAAACATGTTTTCCAAGGTTTGAATGGAGTTTGAGCTACAAGAAGGAAGGTAAAGCTAAGCAACAGTGGCTTACACCTGTAATCCTAGCAACTCAGGAGGCTGAGATCTAAGGAATATAGTCCAAAGCCAACCAAGGCAGCAAACTCTTCCATACTCCAGTTAACCACCAAAAAGCTAGAAGTGGAGCCGGGGCTCAAGTGGCAGAGCACCAACCTTGAGTAAAAAAGCTAAGGGACAGTTCCTAAGTTCAAGTCCCAGTACTGGTGTGTGTCTGCATGGGTCACACACAAGAAGGTGGAAAAAAAAAACAACAACAACAAAAAACACTGCTAGGGCAGGAAAGCTGTCGCTCACCTACATGTTTCCAGATCAAAAAGAGAAGATAGGCACATTTGTACCTCAAGTGCTGTAGTTGTGCATGCAGTCCCAGCCCTCAATCCAAAGAGCTTGTCAGCTAGAGATTTTCTGTGTGACCTTGTTTCTGCCAACGTCACCTTTGAAGCCAATATTTCAGCGCACAAAGCAAAAGAATTCCCTTCTTTGTGAATGAAAATAAGTTCTGCTAGAGAGTTCAAAGGAAATATAGAGCATGCTTCAGCAGTAGGTTAAAGTTTATTGGAAAAGAGGTAAACACACACACACACACACACACACACACACACACACACACACAGTAGGCTGGATACTGTTCTCCACAAGTATCAGTAAATGTTATGTTCATTGGAGAAAAGGTCCCTGCAAATGTGATTAAATTAAGGCAGAGGTGCTTAAGACAAGCATGGGTATCTTTGTAAGGGGGAAGGTAAGGACATCTGACACAGAGAAATAAGCAGGCATTGTGAAGGGAAACAGGGAGGACTTGGAGAGGCTCCTCTTGAGACTGCAGTGATGTGGCACTGAGCCAAGGCGTGTTGGCAGCCACTGGAAAGCTCGCCTAGATGAGCAACACATTCCCTCTGGAGTTTCGGAAGGGAAAGCAGCTCTGCGGATGCCTTGACTTTGACCTTTGGATACTGATTTCAGACCTTTGATTTGCAGAAGTGAGAAAAATTAATTTCTGTTGTTTTAAGCTACCAAGTTCGTGGGAATTTGTTACAGCCGTCAGAGGAGTCCCAGAGCTGTTGGAGGGAAGTTTCAGTGTTTATAACAGCTATCCCCAAATAACTGTATGTTCTTGGGTGGCATTTGATGGAATTAAAATTCTGGCCTCCAGCAAGTGGGATGTATGAGAGATGACAGCTAGCACAGGTTAAAACAAATGACCATCCGACACTCTGCTCAGTGCAATGCCCTCTCCTGAAGCAGAAAGCCAGGGCATGAAGAAAAAGTTGTTTTGTTTTATGCCAGTACTGGGGCTTAAACTCAGAGCTTGGGCACTGTCCCTTATCTTTTTCACTAAAAGCTGTTGTTCTATTAAGTCCACTTTTCTGGGTTTAATTAAAGATTAAGAATCTCACAGATTTTCCTACCCCCAGCTGGCTTTGAACCTTGATCCTCAGATATCACCTAGGATTACAGGTGAGAACGTTAGCACTTAACCTACTTCGTGTTTCTATTTATGAGAATGCTATCACGTGGTCAAATTAATCTATCAGGTAGTTGAGGAAACTGAGGCAAAGCTGCTTAGCTGAGATTATTGGTGAGTTAATAACAGAACTGGATTTGGAACTCTGGGCTCCAAGTTCCACCTCAGGCCTGGAATTCCATTTGACCCCACAGAGAGAATGGCCAATAAACAGCAAGATCTTCCATCCCGTTGAAGTTGGGGGCTGGAGGGATGTGTCACCACACACAACCTCATCCCAGCTCAACTGACATCCACCTTTCAAGGCAAACAGTGAAAGATGGGGAGGACCCTTTCCGGGAAGGTAATAAATGCAGAGAAGCATAGGGTAAAAAGGAACCAGGAGTGATTCTCAACTCCATTTCCCTTCCTCAAGGCTGAAGTCACCGACATGGCTCCAGGGGAGAAGTTTCTATCTTATTTCTAAAACCCTTCAGGGAACATTTCACAGTTTCCCTTCAAAGGGGGAATATCTCATTAGCCTTCAACACTGGCTGTCCAAGACAGAGAAAATTGTCATGGTAATTATATATATATATATATATATATATATATATATATATGAATACTCTGACAGAAAGCATGATATAAGAGATATTTGTAGGGCAGAAAACATTTAGAAATATGAAGACTCAGGTATTAGAACTAAATACTGGCATCCATCACATGGTTTCCGCTTTAAGGTTCATAAAATCTTCCCTCCCCTCTTTTTTTCAGAGTAGTCCCTGTATGAGACCTTAGCTCAAGGAAAGTACGTTTCCAAGTGATTTAGAGGGGAAAATAAACACAAAATGGACTAAAAATTCCACCAATGGTTTCACATACATTCATGACAAATAATTCCAAGGCCAGAGGTTGCTCTGACAGGGAGAAGCTGGCCTGACCTCCTTGGGGTTAGAGTCTCTAGAAGCTAGTCACTTGGCATTTTATCTACAGACCATGCCACCAATGCTGTCAATGACTTTCAACTGCCTTCCCGTCATTAAGTGCTGGGACTCCAAGCCCTGAAAACCATGGGTGACATCTGCCATGAGTCAGGATGGCCTGTGTGGGTGCATCCTGGGCTAGGTGGGTCTCAGGGCAGAGACTACCTAGGCTTCAGGGTCCCAGTCTCTGGGCAAAGATGCAAATGGACTATCCCACCCAATCTGGCCCTGGCACATTGTAGTTCCTGTTGCCATAGTTCAGGGCCCTTACTGCAGCCACTTCTCCCCTTCTCTCCATGTTCATGTCCTTGTGAGTGCTTCTCTTGTGGCGGACCTCTCTCTCTGCTGCCAAGGTGAGCTGCCTGGACTCTCTGTCCAAACCTCAGCACACTGGTCACTCCTCATCTGCTGCTGCGAAATAAGCCTTCTCCAATGTGGCTTTCCTCTTCCCCAGGAGAAGGAAGAGCTGGAAAGCTACATACTCCTTTCCTTACAAAACAGTGCTTCTAGAACCCATTCTGGCCTGTTCTATACAGTTCCAATGTTCTTTAGGTCTCCACCAAGAGCCCTGTAAGATCAGGCTGGAGACTGTAAGGTCCGCTTCTGGATGGCTAGCAGACTCCACCCTCCTCACAGCAAAGTCTCCACCCAGTACCTGTGTTACCTAGGCCACTGGGACACCTGGAAGAGGTCACATCTGCATCCGCTGAGGTCACCCTAGATAAGGCCTAGCCCAGGCCCAGACGCTATCTCTTTGCTCTTTTCTAGCTCTTTTCTCTCTCTTTCCTCTCTCTTTCCTAGCTCTCTCTCTTTCCCAGGCCTTTCCCAGCCACGTGGAGTGCCAACCTTCCATTGAATAAACCTACCCCTTACCTGAATACCACGTGCGTGGTGCAGTTCTTACTCGACTACCTCTTTTTAAAAACCTAACAGAGACAACACAGGGAGGAAACCTCTAGCTCTGGGGTCCACCCTCAATCAGCCAATGCCCAGCCAGAAGTGGATACCTAGAGACTCGGCACGTGGCTGCATGAGGCACCTGAGCCAGTGGAAGAGCTAACCCCATCAATCACCATGATTTAGGGAGGCAGGGACAGAGGGTGCCCCCAAAGGAGACCCAGAAGTGGGTGGAGAAGCTGAGCAAAGCTAAATCACTGTAAGGAGCAGAACTGTCCCATACTTGACACTGGCCATTTCAACAGGATGTTATACCTTCATCTCTGTGGGCTGGTATGGTCTTGCCTACCAGGAAGTGAACAAGGCAGCCCAGCCCGGTGGGGAGTAGGGAGGGTTTGGCAATGGCATTTTATCCTTATCCCTGGGCTGAAGAGGAGCTTGTTAGGGGAAGACTATTCCCAGGCTCCCAACTGCATAAGGTTCAAGTGAAATTGTAAAACTCTACAAATTAAATCCACTTTTAATTTTGAAAGCAAAAGCGAACAGATGCCCTGCAGCTTCTTTCTCTTGGAGAGAGGGATTAAGATTCAATAAATCACCATCCCTTTTTCCCCCTCTCCAGAGACACTGGGCGTCACCGTAGAACTAAATGCGGCTCTGCACGTCAGACAGGAGACAACCTCCAGGGTAACTCTACCAGTCCAAGGGCAGATACAACCAAGGTGCTTAACCAGAAAGGCACATTGGCTTAAGAGAAGACTTACAAAGATTTCTGATACATCAACAGTGCCTCACTCCCATGGTATTTCTTTCTTTTTTTTTTCTTTTTTTGGCCAGTCCTGGGGCTTGAACTCAGGGCCTTGGCTTCTTTTTACTCAAGGATAGTACTCTACCACTTGAGCCACAGTGCCACTTCTGGCTTTTTCTGTGTATATGGTACTGAGGAATTGAACCCACGGCTTCAGGCATGCAAGGCAAGCACTCTACCACTGAGCCACCTTCCCAGCCCCCTCAGTATTTCAATATAGAGTCTAAATGCTAAGGGAAACAATACATACAGGGAGGAGAGCCAGAAATTCATGGGATTGTTGTTTACTAAATGTCATCGTACTGGTGTTATTCTGTCATTTTCTGTTCTTACTCCATTCTATAAAAATTACTTGCTTGGATCAAATGGCACCTAAGAGATCATCCTGCAAACAAAATAGGAGTCAAGGGTACTTTCTATTTTTAAAATCAAGTGGAAAAACTCTGACATATCTTAGTGTATCATGTAGTAACACAATGGTAATTATAATTTTTTTTAAAAACATGATTTTTAAAAACCATTCAATTAAAGAGAAAAGAAACTACAAGTTATAAAGTACATATGGAGCTGGACACTGTTGGCTTATGCCTCTATCCTTGCTACACAGGAGGCTGAGCTCTGAGGAGCAAGGCTCGAAGCAAGCTGCGGCAGAAAAGTCTGTGAGACTATCAAACACCAAAAAGTCAGAGGTGCAGGTGTGGTTCAAGTGGTAGGGTGCTAGCCTTGAGCAAAACATGCTCAGGAACAGTGCCCAGTCCTCCAGTTCAAGCCCCAGTATTGGTGTGCAAGTGGAAACGTGTGTACATGCATGTGAGTGTGCGCACACACACACAGACACATAATACTTATGGGAGCTGAGCCCATTTTTCAGCAGGTCAGCTTTCCTAAATCAGTCCTGCCTAAGATCACCTGTACATGAGGTACCAAGTCACTCTCCTTCCACTTCCTGTCCACCTGTGAATCTCCCTCAGCTTTCTTCCTTATCTTCACTTCCCAAGACAATTTTCTAGCCCCTCCATCCAGGCCCCATCATGGCTGGCTACCCCTCATTTGAAATCCAACCCACCAAGGGAGAGGCTGTGGGTTACCCAGCAAGGGCATGAATGGGAGAAACTTGCTTCCTGAGCTCACAGCTGACTCATTCATATAAGGCTGACCTTCTTGGGATACTGCAAGCGACTGTGTGGCCTTTGGTGCTTCTAATAATATCACAAAAAGAAGACGTAGAACAGCACATCACTGTCCTAATTACAGCACAGAGGCACATGGAATTTGAAGCCGGAAAGTCTATTATGTCTTTCCTCTGAATTCTGCCTTTGACTTGAAGACTTGGGCTGGCCTACGTGGTGCTCCACACAAATTGAAGCACAAAGACAAACATGGACATTGAAAGCCTAAATACCTCAGTTGGCTATGGAATGCATGAGATTTATCTTTACTGATGGCTCCCTGTCATAACTGGTGCTTTTCAAAGACAGATTCTAAATTCCTTTCAAAGTCCTTGGCTGCCGTGAATAAAACCTTCATGCCACAAGCATCACACAATATCTATTGGTTCTCAGGCAGTGTGTCAGGGAGACAGAAAGAGAAGGTACATTTCTGCATGGAGGTTTACCTGTTTGTGCTTGTACAGGGCAGAAAGACCAGCTGAACATCACCATCCAGGGTATGAAGAGCTGGCACAAATGGAAACAGAGCCTGGGTGTGTGGAAGAGAGCCCTCAGCCTGGCCAGGTTTAAGGAGGGGATCCAGGAGAAAGTCAAAGGTGTTTATCAAGTTTGGAGGGATGAACAGGAGATAGGCAGGAAATAAGCTGGAGAGAGGAAACGGTATTTGCCAGTCCCTGGGAATATGAAAGGCCATCAAGCATTCTCAGATAGTACAAGGTTCACAGAGGAGTAGGAGAGGCTGTGGGTCAAGATGGCAAGAGCCCTGGGCTCTATGTTGACACGGCTGAACTTGATCATGAAAGCACTGATCATGAGAGGATTAAATACGCCTCTGGCACAAGGGAGTGATCCACCATGAGTGACTGCATAAGGCTCCCCTGAGAAGCTGTGGCCCTCTGGGAAAGCCTTCCTTTATTCACTACTCTGGAGGCATCAACAACTTCAAAGCCTCATTAGCAGGCAGGTCTCCCTCGAACAATGAAGTCTGTCTTCCTTTCCATAATGCCTGCTCTTGGAGGCCACAGCCGCTTTTTCAATTGCATTCTAATTTCCAGAAGTGATAAACATATGCTCATGTTTCCATTTACAACTTTTTGATTAGCAGCCCAGCACTGCAGCCGCGAATTACCCATTTTCTATGATAATTATTTTTACTTCTCTAAACCAAGAAGGAGAAGCAGCACTTTTAAATTACTAAAGTGTCGAGCCACAGAGGGAGGGAAGAAGTAAGCACCATTGCAATAAAATACCAAGAGTTTGAAAAATTAAAAGCAAGCTGTGGGGCTGTGTCAGACAGGGCCTTCTGGAAGGGTGTGCTGTACACTGGGATCCACTTACCTAAAACCTGGCCCAGATTGCAGAGAGCCCAGGAATAGCTCAGCCAGTAGAATCACGACTCTAAGAGCAGCTCCTTGAAAAGTGGGTTGCTGTGGATGACCAGATCTCTGGACCGCTCAGGTACTGGTTCTTGTTTTTCTTGCCCCTAGGAAGATGTTAAAAGATGGAGATGTCACTAGCTCAGATGTATGCAAGCAACAACCACAAGGCTTTGGGTGCATTATAATTGGAATCCAGCCTCAGTAACTGGCAGCGGGATGGCTCCTAAACAAGACCAGGGCAGGGCTGTGGCTGGTGGGACTGGCTAAGGATGAGAAGCAATGGACTTGGGTCACTGACTAAAAGGAAAAGGTGTTTCCCCTCCCTTGCAGAGCTGCAGATCTACTGGCAGCTTCCGGCCCTTTTGAATAGGCATGAGACATTAATGGGTAGTCATGTGTAAATGAGGATGTACTCACTGCTCTGTGTGTGTGTGATGCCAGTCCTGGGTGTTGTCCTTGAACTTCGTGTGTGTGAGGGGTATGCCAGTCCTGGGTGTTGTCCTTGAACTTCGTGTGTGTGTGGGGGGGAGTATGCCAGTCCAGTCCTGGGTGCTGTCCCTGAACTTCGTGTGTGTGTGTGTGTGTGTGTAGATATGCCAGTCCTGGGTGCTGTCCCTGAACTTCGTGTGTGTGTGTGTGGTGCTGTCCCTGAACTTCGTGTGTGTGTGTGTGTGTGTGTAGATATGCCAGTCCTGGGTGCTGTCCCTGAACTTCGTGTGTGTGTGTGTGTGTGGAGATATGCCAGTCCTGGGTGCTGTCCCTGAACTTTGTGTGTGTGTGTGTGTGTGTGTATGTGTGTGTGTGTGGAGATATGCCAGTCCTGGGTGCTGTCCCTGAACTTCGTGTGTGTGTGTGTGTGTGATATGCCAGTCCTGGGTGCTGTCCCTGAACTCTGAACTTCTTTTGCTCCTCCAGGCTAGCACTTTACCACTTGAGCCACTGTTCCACTTCCTTTTTTTGGTAGTGCAGTGGAGATAAGAGTCTTACAGCCTTTTCAGGCTGGGCTGGCTTTGAACTGCCATCCTCAGATCTCAGTCTCATGAGTAGCTATGATTATAGACATGAAGTCATTGGTGCCCAACTGTGCTCATATGCTTTGAAGGTGCTGTCTGCAGCTGTTTCCAAAGTGCAGCTCAGATGAGCTGAAGGGTGCTGATACTGGGATGACTTGCTCATCAAGAAACTGTGTCATGGGTAAACCATCTTCCCTAGGTGCCTGTGCTCAGTGCTGGGGTCAGAGATATGTGGCCTGCTCTCAAGGAACTAAGAAGGAAAGTCAGACACAGAACAAAACAAACAGTTATTTTCCATGTTTACAATGTCACCTGTGACACAACACAACAACAGAAATTCCAGATGTAAGTCAGTATCAATGATTAATAATCACAACAGCTGAAAATTAACACAATATGTGCTGGGCACTTTTTAGGTCTTTGAAATCCTACAACTATACTATCCTGCATATTAACTTTAGTCTGCACAACACCATGTACAGAATTAGGATCTTGTTTCTGATGGGGACCTTTGCCGTTACAGCCCTGTCCTGTATACTGAGAAACACAGGTCAAGTGCAAGCTCCCTCGGACCAAGTGGGGCAGGTCATTCTCTCCTCACTACCTCTACAGTGCAGCAATCACAGAAGCCTGAAGGAACTCTGTGGAGCCCAACCCAAATCCACCAAGGTCTCTAGTGTTCACAGTGGCTCATTTCTACAGGAAATAATAGATGCGATTAGCATGCTGTCCAGCCTCTAGACCTCCATCATAACCTCTTCCCCCAAGAGTGACTAGTTCTTATTTCCTCACACCTCACATCATTGAGTGGGGTTGGAGGGAAAAGCAGGCCAGCGTGTGGTCAGGTTGGCCCCAGCAGAGTACAGAATACCTCTTCCTACACAGGCAGGGGGCCTCATCAGGGATCTGCAGTGACTGTCCCGGGAGGGAGGGGCGCTGTGAACTGAGTGTGGGGTGGAGTGAGGAAGTGATGGAAGAGGGTTACACTGCATCCTGTGTGGGACATGGCTGTGTACTGAGGATGTGCTTTTAGGGGATATGCTGGGGCGGGGGTAAGAGGAGCTGTGAATCTGACAAGGGAGAATGTTACAAGCCCCGTGTGTGTGTGTGTGTGTGTGTGTGTGTGTGCGTGTGTGTGCGCGTGCGCGCAGGTGTGCAGGTGTGCTGTGGTGTGCAGGATGGGGTGCAGGAAAGCTAAAAATGGTAACAAGTAATTACATTGTGTTTACAGATATGTCCCCTTTATTGTCTATAAAATGTTTCTCTCAGGAAGGAGGTATGTAGTTTACTTTCATAATATACCTATTTACAGGAATAAACTCTTGATGTAAAGAAAAAATATTCTTATGAAACAAATATACAATGAGGTAAATATAAGGGAAAATCAGGAGACGAGAGGCAGAAGTCCTAGTGTGGGATGTGTTCTTGGCTGTCAATTTCAGGCCCACATTAAAACTGCCTGGGGAGTCTTAAGATGGCCCCTGCCTAGATCCCACATCCGGCGCCTTCCAGGCCATCAGAGGGATGACAAGGTGCATCAAGACATCAATAGTTTTTAAAAGCTCCACAGGGAGCCCTAATGTGCAACCTCAGATGAAAAACATGTTTTAGAAAGGAGCAGCTTTCAAAGAACAGCAAAATCAGCTTTACCCAGAAACTTGTAAGAAGTACAAGATTCTTAGGTCCCACACCAGACCTATGCAGTCAGAAATCAGGGCTGCAGTCCAGCCATCTGGGGCTTAGCAAACCTTCCAGGTGGTTCTGGCTGCTTGGTGTTCAGAGCCCACTGCTCTGGGGATTTGGTGAGACAGGGCCCTCACTGGCATCTCCCCCTCCCACTTCCCAAGACTACATCTCCACCACTGTGGTGCCAATCTAGTCAAGGTCAACTAGTACTTCCCGACTCAGCCCCAGGAAACCTCTCTTCTTTCCTGGGACGGAGACAATGACTGGGAGTCAGGTGGTAAGTAGCTGATGGCCAATTCCAGACGGATGACATCCTAGGGCCTACTGTATCTGAACCCCAATCAAGTCACAAACCAGTGGGTCAGACACCAGAAAGTTGAGAATTTGACTATAATCTTATATTCACTGATTTTTGATCAACAGTGACCTCTTTAGCTTTGTTAATTAGGAATGGACTATGCAGAGAAAAAAGCAAATGTTTCCTCTGCAAACAGATTTATACCCAGATTCATCTCAAAGCCCCTCACAGTCCCCAAACCAACCTCGATGCCTATGTGGCTACACTGGTCAAATACAATTAATTTTTCCAGAATTGATGGAAATACCACTATGGAGTCACTGGGTGTATATTAATAAGGAAAAGTCTTAAGGGAAAGGATAGAGTTCTACTGAAGATATGACGGTATTCTGAGAGCTGAATCAGGGCTTGCAAAGCACGGCCCCTTGGTTAGCAATGATGTCTCTACTAAAAAAATTCTCTACACAGGTCTTCAGATTTAGTAATTCCATGACAGTATTATTGGAGAAGATAAGGAAAGAATAACACTTAGAGAGCTGCTCCAGCTGGTGATGTTGATAAGGAAAATATACAAAGTAAAAGGAATCTGATTATTTGTTCCATTGCTAGAACAGAAAAAAAAAAAGAACTTTTGTGTAAAACCAGAGAGATCGCAGGATTTTCCAAGGAAAAAAAGTGTTTCTTTCTTTTAATAACAAAATTATACAGTGGGGATCTGAAATAACAAATGTAATGCCTACAAAGTAGCACATAACTGTGCAAAGATGTCTAACAAGATACAATGGCTCTCTCTTTGTGACACCGTGGGGGATACGCCAGTCCACCTGTCTATAGAAGGATAGTTAATGATCAGACATAGAAGGTTCATCAAACTGTTTCTTGTTTACTTAAGTCGGGACAGACTGTGAACAGCTCAATGAAAGCTGAGAGACCCACAATCAACGCCTGGCATCTGACTTCCTCTCCCAAGGAGGCATTTGTCCCAGTAACTACGGGGTCACAACATATAGACCCTTAACTGCCTTTCACCCCTGTCCTCTGCTAGCCACAGCTCACAAATCTAAAGTCAAGTGCGACGTGCTTTCCTTCCAATCTTCGGCTTAGAATGAAGCAAGATTAAGCTTTCTCTGCACAATAAACAGAAAAACAGAGCCAGAAAATCAGACATTAAATACTCAGGGACGTGAAGGTTTGTTTGTTGAGAAGTCTTGTGTCAGGGCAGAAAAGCAGTTCCTCTTTTCCAAAGCACACTTTTTATTAAAAAAAAAAACACTGTCTATTACATAAATTTTCAAACATAAGCAAACACTGAGAGATTAGCATAATGAGTCTTTTCTGAATTCCCTCTCTCCCCTCTCCACTCTCCAGTTCAAGGCTCTCCACAGATTCCTAACCTGTTGTCTGTTCAGTTCCATCTACCATAAACTTCTCTATTCCAAGTCTTGCATCCATTTGTTCTGAAGACTGCTGAACTGAAATCCTATGCCTAATGATGGCCAGAAAAATGGCAACTTCCTGGAAAGACTGAAATCTACTTTAAGATTTAAAAAATGCATAGAATAATGAAAGCAATATAAAAAGCTAGGTGGGGGTGGTTCATACCTGTCATCCTAGCTACTCAGGAGGCTAAGATCTGAGGATTAGATTCTCTAATCACCAGTTAATCACAGGAAAAGCTGGAAGTGTTGCTGTGGCTCAAGTGGTAGAGTGCTAGCCTTGAGCAAAAGTTGCTTAGGAAAGCACCCAAGTCCAGAACCAGCAAAAATGAATGGATGAATGAATGAATAAAACAATATAACAAGCTTGAAAAAGCAAATAGTTCCAACAACTCTTGCCTGAGATGGCCCCTTGCAGTGTCTCCCTGAATGCATCCAGAGTAATGGCGTTCTGCTTATTAGGCTGCTCATCTTTCCGTTTACAGTACTGTATATTATTCCATCCATTGGGTATCCTGTAATTTTACCATCCATCTGTACCATGTGTTCTGGTCATGGCTACATTTCTATCATTATAAGTAATGAAGGAGCAAATACCTTCTTACAGTGTCTCTTTGCACATTTCACATTATTTTCTTAAAGCAAAATCCCAGAAGCTCAGAAGTAGTGGC